ATTATTGTATATGACTCAGAAATAAGAAAATACTCTACATATATATGGAAAGCACTGCAGACACCATCAGTACATTCAGCACTCACTTTTCCCTATTCACTAATCACTGTCAACTACAAACATCTGCAACTCTCTGTGTGCCTTCTGGCTACAGAGTACATTTGGCACAGGAGCAGAGCAGGCCAGGCCTGGCCGGAAGTGCTGGGGAGGCAAGGCCCCCTGGAGCAGCCCTCAACCGTTGACTGGCTGGCATTAGGGGACAATTTCTCCAGCACCCTTGCCTTAAAGTGCAACAACTCAGCATGTTCCACACGGCCTCTCCAAGGTCTCAGAGGGAATAAGTTCTGGTTGCCCAGAGGTTACCTGCTTAGGAACATTCTGGCTTTCTCCAACCCAATGCCCCACCCCCTGAAAGGCACCTCCTGGAATCCCCTCCCAACAGAGATGACTTACACTCAGTCCTTATGCTGATCTGCTTCTAGAGGAGCCCAGTTCAAATCAGAGGGTGTCCTGAGCAATGCTTACTGATAGGGAGGAAAAATAATGAAAACAGTTTTAGGAACTATTGCTCTAAAGGAGGAGACTGATAGGAACAACTTCACTTATTTATGTTAGTTGGTTAGTTAGTTAGTTAGTTTAAATTTTCGGTTGCTGAGAATTTGAACTCCCTAACCCTGGGTTTTAGCATCGGGGTAGTTTTTTGTTTTTATTTTAATTTTTTCAATTACGGTTGACACATTATATTAGTTCCAGGTGTATAACATAATGATTAGAAGTTTGTATAACTTATGAAGTGATCACCGCAATAGGTCCAGTACTCATCTGACACCATACATAGTTCTCACAATATTATTGATTGCCTTCTCTAGGCTGTACTTTACATCCTTGTGACTGTTTTTATAACTGGCAATTCGTACATCTTAATCCCTCCACCTTTCTCACCCAGTACCCCAACCCCCCTCCCATTTGGCAACCAACAATATGTTCAAACAACTTCACTTTATTTCAAGTCTGTCTGTGATATAAACTCACACCAGAATAAGGCAATTTAGAAACAATCTGACAGGGATCCAGAAAAGCCCCACAGAAGAGATGATGTTTCAAAGAGGCTTCAAAAGATGAATAAAAGTTCACCTGGGCCAGAAGTGTTTGGAGGACATTGAAGGCAGAGGGACCAACAGAATCAAGACCAAGAAAACACAATACCTTTGGGGTGAGAGCGGAAATGATGAAGGTGAGACAGGAAAGAGCCTCGGGGTCTTTAGTACAATGCTGAATCCTAAGAGCATAAATTCATTCTATGGAAAGAAAATAAGTGTTTGACCAGGAGATTACATTACAGTTGTTTAGAAACCTATGAGCAAAGCATATAAGACAGATTTTTAGAAACAATAAAAATAGTTTAAATTTTTTTAATTTCATGAGTTCATAATATGCTAAATAAAGATTTTGACAAGTTTAGACCAATTGAGGCAAATTTAATATTTTCGAGTACACGTGTTTGCAGAGATATATGTATATGATGTTTTCTTCACAAATAAAAGTAAGATTTTAGGCAAGATGTACACTGCGGTTTTGGATTTGAGAAACAGGTCTGCGTGTAAACAAGAACGAAGGTACTCTGCCAGGGTGGCACTTTACGGTATTGCCCTTGGCAGTGAAAGGCTCCACCGCATGGTCAACTTCCGATCCAGAAGACCAGGACTCGTCCTTACATCTCCCTCTTTCTCTTCCTCATCCACCATACCCACCCCCTCAAAGTCTTGTCAATTTAACCTAAGTAGCTCCTGAATTTCTCCATTTTTCTCAATTGCTTCTGTCACCATCCAGTCGCAGCCACCACCAGCTCTCACTACAAGGACAGCGAGGGAAACATTCACTCTTGCCCGCTTCATTCCATTCTCACGGCAGATCACACCCCTCCTCGACTTTACGTCTTGCATTGGCTCTGCTTGCATTTCTGATAAAGGCAGAGAGGCGTGGCCTCTGCCCGCACATTCAGCCTCAGCTCTCGCACCTCCCTCATTCACTGTCAATGCTCCAGCCACACTAACCAGCCTTTAGTTCCCCACAAAAGCCTGTGATTCTCAATACCACAGGGCCTTTGCGTGTACAGCAGGTCCAGTTGAGCATGATATGTGTCCTTGGCAAGCCATGATATGGGACACAAAGACAGCCCATATCAAGGCAGTATATTTGTTTTGACAATTCATTTTCCTACAGACTACCCCTTCAAAGCACCCGAGGTTGCATTTACGATGAGGATTTTTCATCCAAATATTAACAGTAATGGCAGCATTTCTTTCAAGTCTAAGGTCACAAAGGTCTCCTGCTTTAATTATTTCTAAAGTTCTTTTATCTGTTTGTTCACTGCTATGTAATCTAAACCCAGATTGTACAGATCTATAAAACAGACAGAAATAAGTATAACAGAACATCTCAGGAATGGATTCAAAAATATGTCTTGTGATGCTACCTTAAAGCCACATTAACCTGCATTATAGGATAGATAGATAGATAGATAGATAGATAGATATTCTTTCTCAGTTCCTTCTTTATTTATCTAACTCCCAATCCTCCTTTACTTCTCAGCCCAACTTCACTTTCTTGGGGAACCTTCCCTGCTCCCCTAGATCAGGCCAGACCTCTCTGTTTCATGCTCTCCTGTTTTTTCCTTCTCTGTCTTCCACTATCCACGTATGTTCTTATTTGGTTGTCTGCTTCCCGCTAGATCAAAAGCTCTATGAAATGCATATAGCAGGGGCTTAAAAGTATATGTTTACAAAAATTATTTTTAAGTTAACTTGCTTCAGATATCTTGTTAATCACTTCAGATGCATTATCTATTTAGGGCCATATACTGCTAAGAAAACTAAAGCTGAGAGAATCTTAAATGACTTGTTCAGTCAGTAATGACAGGCCTGGAATTTATTCTCAAGTCCGTCTGACTTGATCTGACACTCCTGAACACCATCCAGTAATAACAGACACAACAGGGAATGACAGGAGACATTTATGAGATGTGGTAGTGTTAAGAGTTGTGGGACCCTTTTTCTACTCCAAATGTGTTGTTATATCATTGTCCTGATACCTCGTCAACAAAAAATGGTCTTCTACGTGATAGATACATTTTTCTAAGCTTTATCTCAACCAGATTCTAACTTATTCTTAGCATTCTTTTCCAGCTTTGTTATCTGGCTTCTCACTATACCATATTATGGCACTTCAGATATTTTTTCCTACTCTTTGCCTATGTTCTCTCCTAATTTTTACAAAGCTGCGATAAGGTGGGAAAATACACGACCGTTAGGGCTTGCCAATTTTGTTCAAAATATAACTACATTTTCCTGTACAGGTGGAAAGTGTTTTGGAATACGGCAGGAAGAGATGATGAGATGAGGCTGAACTGTATGTAGAATAAGGACTAGGAAAAACCAGTTCCAGTTGAAACAATGAAACCAGATAATATTCTCAGTTAAAAGAACAAACGTGGTTCAAGAATGTCTATACAGACATGGGATTGAGAAATACACAAAAGGCTAAACACAATCTTTATTTTGAAAAAGAAAATAAACTGTTTGAGAAGATTTACCCAAGGGAGAGCTCAGTGTAACAGATAAACTTGTATAATAACAGAATCGCTGTACATTTTAAATATGCTGCTGTTTTCTCGATGAAATGAGAATCGTTTACAGCACATACATATACTTTTGTTTGTGCCAAACAAAAAGTGTCTTGAAGAAAGAGAAAAAGAGTGAGGTCCCAGAGAATTAAGAAAATCAAGTCCATTTGACTAATGATGAGACAAAAGAGTAGAGGAAAATACCAACAATTCTTATATAATATGTCACTGGTTGTGTGCAGCGAGCTTAGGTGTGAACCAGTGTGCTGTCCTGGCCCCAAATCCTGTGCCTTTTTCCCAGAGAAATCTATTTCTGCCCCACACAGCCAGTTACTGAAAAAAGAAGAAAAAGGCAACTCTGGAGAGCCCAGCCTTTTCAACTCACTCCTGCTGGTGTCTGGCTGAGTTAATGCTGCCTTGCAGGGGTTCCCCCACCCTTGCATTGCACTTGAGGGTCACTATATTTGGGGCCCTCTGCTTTTGCCTTTTCCTGAGGTGCAGTCTTGCTCATTCTCTGGCTCTGCTTGTAGTTGACTCTGCCCAACCAAGCCCACATTTGGCTGTTCCACTCCCCAGGAATGAGAGTAAGCAGTTCAGCATAAATGAGCAATCGCCCACGTGATAAAGTTTGAAGAAACCCAGTCGCTTCCCCACTGCCCACCCACATGTACTAGAAGCATCTCTGAAAATGCAAATGCTGTCAAAAAAGAATACAGCCAATGTTCATTATTCCCAGATTTGCCTATTCACTGAAATTTATGTGTAACCCCAAACTCAATATTCATGGGACTTCTGTGGTCATTCATGGACATGCAGGGAGAAGCAAAGTTTAGGGATAATTTTTAGTAAAAACTTTAACAAGGTAGTGTACAGGGAAGTCTCATATTTTCAGATGAACTAAGCTTTTCTAGGTAAATAAAAAGCTAAGTCGACAAGAATAGGAATTTGATGGAAAAGGCAGAAAACTGCTAAATAGGTAGAATAGAGATTTGTAAAATCGAAACTACCTAGGCTGTCTGTATAAAATTGTTCGTTTGTTTTTGTTTCAAAAGTCATTTGAAAATTCTTTGGGTGAGTTTTGTTTTCATTTAAAGAATAATAGTTATATCCATTTATTAGCTAGTGGACATTGAAATCATTCCTGTGCTGGTTTCCCTGGGAAGCAAGGCATCCAGCAGAGCCAAAGAAAGTGGCATGACTACTTTTTATACCCAAGGGATTTACATCTTTGAAACCTGCACAGATCTTGTCGATTTCACTTTAAAAATGCTGAGAACAATTCGTCTCCATGTCGCAGCACACGTGCATCTCAGTCATACCTTCTGTTACACAAGGAAGCCTGGGGCGGTGGCAGGCGGTGCAGCACCTACTCACTCACCTGCAAGTCAAAGACTGAATTCTAAGTTCTTCTCTGTTGCTTATTATTCCGAGATCTTGGAGTGTCACAGAGTTTCCAAGAGCCTTGCTTCAAAAGAAAGGGGGTGGAAAAAGAGGAAGATATATATATACATAGTGGTTAGAAATTTTACAGCAATATTACAAGAGTAAAATAACTATTAACTCAATCAAAAATGGAATAAGTACTTAAATAGACATTTCTCCAAAGAAGACATAAATAGCCAATACGAAAAAATGCTCAATATCGCTAATCATAAGAGAAATGCAAATCGAACCCACTATGAGATATCACAACTATCAGCACGGCTATTATCAAAAAAAAAAAAAAAAAAAAGATAGCAAGTATTGGCAAAGATGTGGAGAAACTGAAATCCTTGCACACTGAGTATTAGAGGGAATGCAAAAAATGATGTAGTCACTATGGAAAACAGAATGGAGACTTCTCAAAAATTAAAAATATAATTACCATATGATCCAGCAATCCCATTCCTGGGCATTTATCTGAAAGAATTGAAATCAAGATCTCAAAGATATAGTCATTGTACCACTGTTTGCTAGAGCTAAGATGTGGAAACAATCTAAATGTCTATGACAGACAAATGAATAAAGAACATGTGGTATATACATACATGCAGAGATATTATTCAGCCTTTGCAAAGAAGGAAATTCTGCAATATGTGAAAACATGGATGAACTTCGAGGACATTTGATTAAGTGAAATATGCCAGTCACAGAAAGACAAATGTTGCATGATCCCATTTATATGAGGTATCTAAAATAGTCAAATTCATGAAATCAAAGAGTGGAAGGAATAATGGTTGGCGAGGGTTGGCGAGGAAGAAATGAGGAGTTACTAATCAATAGGCATAAAACTCTACATAAACAAGATAAGTAAGCTCTAGAGATCTGCTGTACAGCACTGTCCCCATAGCCAACAATAACAGATTGTACACTTAAAAATTTAAGAAGCTAGATCTCATGTTAAGCATCCTTACGACAATAAAATATAATGAAAATGCATGCGACAGCTATATATCAATTAATAAAATTATCAAATAAAAATTAAGCAAAAGCTGCTAAAAGAAATCACTACAAATCTTTGCTCTTTGACTTATAGTTTAAATCGTTGGCTACGTGACCACAGGGGGCAGTTTCTCCGTCTGTAAGATATAGATAACCCTGCGCCTCTCACAAGACTGATGAAATGACAGAATGAAGTCATCTTTGTAAAGTGTCCAGAACAATGCCTAGCACATAGTAAGAGCCAAAGAATGAGTTTTAAAGAATAGATGATAATTTAGCTTCTTTCCAGCCCAGACATAAGCAGCCAGCAGCGCTGTCTTGTCATTCTGTGGGTTTTCTTCTGACCTAGTCAATTCCTTATTTAAAACACTGTCACATTGAAGAAAGAATTTATTCAGGAATTTTGAGCATCAAAAAGCAAATCAACTGACACCAATGCCTCAGTGATGATTCTGAGTGCCAAGGTGGACTTAGAATATCTTTTCAAATGAAGTGTGAAGACACCACTTGTTCAAGGTCACACATGTAAGAGGAACCATCCAGGAGAGGTTTGAAACTCAATTTTCCCTCCAAGCCCTCTGGCTCTACGTGATAATAACTTATTAACACACTTATTATTTCTCTCTAGTTTTGGGCTTCTCTAATTGTAGTTATAAACATACCTCTCTGCTCAAAGCTCAAGGCCAAATATTGGGTAAAACTCTACATTCTCACAGCCAGAAGCCTCTGTTTTAAACCCTTCTCTAAAACACAGAGTCTTGTTTATAAGCTTTAAACCACTGCTACCAAAAAAAGTAATATGCAAATCAGAAATTTTATAACTTTACAGTTAAATAGTAAAGGCAGTCCACCAGACCTCAGCTAGACATTTACATAATTGCATTACTAGCATTCTCAGGAGCTATAATGAAAGTTAAAGGGGAAATTTTACTTATTCCCTATTAACTCTAGAATAGAACATGATTCTTATTTGCCCTTACAAATAAAGCTTAACTGCTGCTTTAAAACCAGACAGTACAATTGGGTTCTTTTATGGTTCCTGGCTGCCATGAGGGAGCAGCAGCAAATATCATAAGGAAAAAAAAGTCTACTGAAAAATCACAGTTATTCCAAATAAGAATTGTACTAAATATGCAACTTTTATCATGTCTCTGCGTTTGCTTTCTGGCTTTTGACACATGAGCTTCTGACTACACATATTATCTTTTTAAGATTAATTTCTTCAAGGACAGTTTTTCCTCAAATCTCTTTATGTACACTCATTAGAAAGAGGATCAGATGATAATCCTGGCAATTCCATTCAAATAATTAATCCATAAATAGTTGTTGGGTGTCCCTAGAACAAACCTAATATGCATTCAATAAATGTATTCTAAATTGAATTGAAATTAAATTTATTCTATTTAGGAAAATGTGCGAATCTTGGTTTAGCTGCCCACAAAGGCAGATCCCGAGATAGAATTTGTGTGCAGGAACTTTATTTAGGAGGTGATCTAGTGGGGTAGTGGGGAAAGGGAGACAGGGAAGGGAAGTAAACTCAACAGGGTACGTTAATAAGATGAGTAAGTACTGTGGGCAGCTGGGCTTAAAACCCAGAAGGGACGCTAAGAGGAACCATATGAAAGGAATAGGAAACCTCAAGCATTTCCTCCCCGCAGCTGTCTCCACTCTGCTGCTCCCACCCACCCATAACCTGCTTCCCCGGAACTGCAGACCGGAGCGAGGGCTTGGGTTCTGCCCGTTCTCAGACTGGACTCTGCAGGGTCTCTCATTCTCAAGCCCAGACCCCACTGTCTGGCAGAGGCAGGTCCACGTTCTACTGCTCTTCCATGCGCCCCTCTCTGTCTCCTGCAGCCTGGAGCTTACTAGTCTCATTTGAAATCTCACTTTTAAATAAGTATGGATGATTTTTATGAACTTCAACCCTGTTTGCTCATCTATTTCCTAAAATAATCCCAAAAGACTTTGCAACCCCTACCTGACATATTTTTAAGTTGACATCTATACTTTTTTTTTATCATAAGTTTATGTAGTTGTTAGATGTGACTTCCAGTGAACTATAAATATTGAAAGTCTAAAGCAAAACTGTTAAACCACTCTTTTAAATGTTTCCAATGAAATATAAATTCCGAAGAAAGCTGATACCTCTGTCAATTTAAAAATACAAATGTACATACGTAACTTGTTTTATAATGTTCCTTAAAGTCTTATTTCCATTTCATGTTCCCCACAGAACTTTATCCTAATACAATAATATATTATATTTGAAAGAACTGTGCTAAATAAGCCTATCATAACTAATTGCATAAAAGAATGTAAGTTGCCATTTATTTTTTAATTTCTTGTAATCGTATATATAGGTTCAAGTTTCTTTTTAAAGTTTCCTTTTAACAAGATATCATTATACTTCTCATTCAGTGCACCATTAATCAAAACAATGCAAATATATTTAAAATGTTGATAAACATAAAATTCAAATTCTACCTGAAATTTATCTCTTAATAAAATGGACAGGACTGGTTTATTTTTCCTAATTAGTTCATCTTTTCAAGAATGAATATTACTCATTGCTCGAATGAGACAGAGGTCAGCATTAATGTTATTTCTCATTTTAGTAAGTAGCACTGAAAAGACTTGTTTTTTTTTTTTAAAAAAGTAGTGGAAAAAAATAGATTTTTTATAGCAATGTCCTTCAATTATTTGAACTTTTTCAGAGTTACATTCAAACATAGCATAGTGCTCTGTCATCAAAGATTATTTTGAATAATCTTGAGTAGGTCTTCAATTTTGTTTAGAGCAAAGAATTAGAAACGATCTGAGCCGTGAGAGGATGTGTCTGCCAGTCATCGGAGCATTCTGCTTTCTCAATATCAGCGTTTCACAGGGTTCCTTGCTTTGGCACTCAGGATTTTTCCACCATAACAGGAATAGGGGTGAATAAGGCAGGAAATGGAAAGGGGGCAAGTTTGAAAAGAAAACAAGAAGGAATACTACAAATTGTAAGTGTGTCTACAGACAAATCCATTGAGAAAAGAGAACATTGGAGATTTGAGGATATGGGAGCTGATTTGGGAAGTCTGTGAAGACCCAAGGGATGCACACACACTCCCCTGTGTATAGCTCACTGGCGTCGGAGTAGACTTTTTGACTCCCAAGTCCTTCTGACCTTGCCTTGTGAAATTCAAAGCCCAGACTTTTGAAACTCCAAAACTGAAAATTAAATCTTTGGTTTGGCTATATCGACCTTTGGATAATTTAATAAAACCCTAATGCTCTGGCAGCTGCCTGAAAAGGAAGGAAGGGACAGGGGGCCAACAGTTACCAGGAACAAAATTATCTATTAGTTAACATTTCAAAGTTGCACCTTGCCACAAATTAAAAGAGCCTGCTCAAAATTAGGAGTGAACAGCGTGCCTCCTGGATACTGTAGGATTCACCGAGTCCAAATAATTTGATCTGGGCTTTCAGTTGAGACTTCAGATTAGTGGAGAAGAAAAGAGGGTCATCTTCTAGGCAATAAGATGACAAAAGTAGAGATGCTGGAAATCAAGGATATTCAGGAAAAAGTAGAAAGAACAGTTTTAGTGATGTTCATGGAACAGGCATGGGGGGGACAACATAGAAAAACTTAGAGGGAACAGTGAGGAATCCATGGAGACAGGGGAAGCGTATGAAGTGGCCATCTTTAAAGATCTGTAGCATTCGTTATGGCAGAAGAAATACGGACAGGTCATCAGGATCTTGTCCCACTGGAAATACATCAGGAAATTAAAAAGAACAGCCTGGCAGGTCTTCTTGACTTTGTGTAAACGTTCAGTGATTGGTTTAGATTCACGTGGAGGTCAAAAATGCCTTTATTTCATACGCTGTGTGTGTGTGCATACATGTAATAACCTAAAACGGTCTGCAGCTGTTTAGTTAGACCAAGGTGTGTGGTTTCGGGCAGTCTAAACCGGTTGGTGCCTAAACTTATGATTTCTTTACTGAATGGTTTATTTATTGAATTCACAGTGATTCCTTCTATAGGAGGGCAAGTTGGCACAC